AGGCAAGGACCTACCTGCAAGATTACTCTATGAGGCAAAACTATCATGTAGAATGGAGGAGCCGATAAAGTGCTTCCCAGATAAGGTCAAGTTAAAGGAGTTCATCATTACCAAACTCTTGTTATATGAAATGTTAAAGAGACTTATCTAAGAAAAAGAAGACAATCAGAAATATGAACAGTAAAATGACAATAAACTCACAACTATCAACAACTGAACCTAAAAAAACTCCAACAAACTAAGCAAACAACTAAAACAGAAACAGAATCACAGAAATAGAGATCCCATGGAGGGTTATCAGTGGGGGAGAGGAGAGGGGGGAAAGGGCAAAAAGGTACAGGGAAAAAGAAGCATAAATGGTAGGTAGAAAATAGACAGGGTGAGGTTAAGAATAGTATAGGAAATGGAGAAGCAAAAAAATTGTATGTATGACCCATGGACCTGAACTAAGGTGTGGGGGGGATGCAGGTGAAAAGAGGATGCAGGGCAGAGAAAGGAGGATGCAGGTGCAGGGAAAAGTTGGACAACTATAATAGCATAATCAATAAAGTATATTTAAAAGAAAAAATAAAAAGACTGCACATTAAAAATGCAGTCCACATATACTTTTCCTTAAAGTCAATTTAAAGGGCAGTTGGTAACAACTTTTTTTTTCCTACGAATTGACTCTTTCTTCTGTTCTCTTCCTTTCCTTTTACCTGTTCCTGCTGCTCCACTTGAAACATTTGTTACTCGGTCCCTAAATCCTTGCGGTCAATTCCTCCCTTATACCCTTTACCACAACCTATCCCCAAATTTGCTCCTTTTCCCACTAGCATGCTCTTCCTTATGCCAGTATAATGCCTGTAAGTTTTTCAGGACATCTTGGACATAAATTCCTCTGCCCTATTTTTAAAGGTTTCCACTCTGTGGCCCAAGCTATTTAACTTCTCCTCTCTCTAACCTGACAAATACTAAAAGGTCCAGTCTCCTCATTCCGCAGAAGATGCCATGTTCATACTTGTGTCCATGGATTGCCCTTCTCCCCTTGATGAATCCCAATTCTCCCAGTCTTTTAAGATTGATTTACTTCCTTGAATATTTGTTTTATTTTAAAATATTGAAATAAATTGATTATAAAAGATATATAAATATTCAGGGTAGGGCAAGAGTAGGTTTCCAGTTGTGAATATGCAAAACAGTTTCTTGTACTATAATTTATTATTATATTATTTTCCATACGAATAACTGTAAACCTACATTTGCCTCCTATTTGTGTATCTTAATCTCAAAAAATACATATATAGTACACATATTTTTCATCTTTTTTTTAAAAGATTGTATTTGTTTACTTGTAGAAAGAGGGAAAGGGAGGGAAAAAGAGAGGGAGAGAAACATCAATGTGTGAGAGACATTGGTTGCCTCTCATGAGGCCCCCACCTGGGTGGGGACCTGGCCTGAAACCCAGGCATGTGCCCTGACTGCAGCCTTCCAGTTCACAGGCCCACACTCAGCCCACCGAACCACACCAGCCAGGGCTGTATCATATACATATTTTTCATCTTCATAGGCCTGTGGTGTTTTCTTAATTGGAATCACTTAAGAGTGTCAATTTCTTAAGAAATGATCATTTGAATACTCGAAATGAAAGAAGCTACTAAAGTTCCTTGCTTCCTCGAATCTAGTTTTTGTCATTAGAGCTAAGCCACATTTGATAAATTCTATCCTTTTGAGGTGTTGCTTAAGATTGCGGTTTACTTTTTGGATGTTTCAAAAGTATCTCTAAGGATAAACAACCAAATAATAAAGATGATGAAAAATACAAGATGGGTGTTCTTTCTTTCTCTTACAGTGGGAATCCAGTGTGTTTCTGAGATGTCTTTGTGTGCTGAGGACGCAGGCAGCCTAGAGAGCAGCATCCAGGGGCCATTGTCCCTTGTGCAGAGCTTTCCATAAAGCCTTGTCTGGGTTAACCTCAAAGGAATGTACTTTGCCTAGAGGCCAGACTCTGCAGCACATCCATGAAAATCAGCAGCGCAGCGTAGTATACAATCTATACTTGAATCTACAGAGCCATACAAGGACCCCTTGATGGGATAAACAATGTGTTAGGTCCAGGGCATCATGAGATGAAGGGTACAATTGGATTTCTACTTGAAAACTTAATCACATTATCTAATAAATGGCCTCTATCCTCATCAAAGAATTTGGGTTCATCCAGAATATTTCTACCCCCCCAAACACTAAATACTATAGTGTTTTAATTGCTATGGCGTTAAATCAGCTTTCTGCATGTGAGTTTTACCACCTCATTTGCTTTTCTGGGGGACTTGGTGACTCACATATAGGAAGATCTAGCAAACTTTGTGAATAACCTCAGAATCTATGTGTGAGTAGGTCACTGGGAAAACCTCTGTGGCGTCCTGGAGTGACCTCTACACGTAACTGGATGAGCTCCTCCCTTGCACCATGAAGCTCCTCTCCCTGTTCTCCCTTCTACCTCCGGCTTCTCATTCCACTCCTTTACACTGTTTGCTTGGGGTTTTTTTATGCAGTTTTTGACGTGTGCCCAACAAACTCTCTCACTACTTACTTTCAATTACTTTTCCATTTCGTTCAGCTACCGGGCCCCCCGTTTTCTCCCAAGCAGCTACTTCCTGGTATTATTCCCAGCAGTGTCCTTCCTTGGGCTCCTCCGGTACACTCTGGGACCCTCCACCTGCCTCTCAGAACACCAGCTTCTGATGGTGAGGATGTGGAGCAACATGAACTCTCATTCATTGCTAAAATGGATGCAAAAATGAAAAATGGCACAGCTGTTTTGGAAGGCAATTTGAGCAAACATTCCCCTACCATATGATTTATCAATCTCAATCTTTGGTATTTACCCGAATGAGTTGAAAATTTATATCCATACAAAAACCTATAGCAGACTAATTTCTAATTGCCAAAACATAGGAACAACTAAAATGTCCTTCAGGAGGTGAACAGGTAAACAAACTGCTACAATGGATACGTTATTCAGTGATAAAAAGAACCATCGAGCTATGGAAAGCCATGGAGGAACTTTAAATGCATTTTGCAAACTGAAAGAAAGCTGCATACTGTGTGATTCCAACTATTTGACACTCTGGAAAAGGCAAACCCATGGAGACACTAAAAAAGAGCCATCCTGGCCCTGGATGGTGTAGTTCAGTGGATTGATCACGGGCCTGGAACCAAAGGATGGCAGTTCAATTCCCAGTCAGGGCACATGCCCGGGTTGCAGGCCAGTTTCCAGCAGAGGACACAGGAGAGGCAACCATACACTGATATTTCTCTCCCTCTCTCCTTTCCCTCTAAAGATAAATAAATAAAATCTTTAAAAAAATAAAGAAAAAGATCCACCCCTGGTTGCCAGTGGCTGGAGGAAGAGGAAGGAGCGGGTGTAGCACAGAGGGTGTTGAGGCAGGAAAGCTAGTCCGTATGATACATTTGTCAAAATCCATAGAATGTGCAAGGCCGAGTGAGCCCTAATGTAAACTATAAACTTTGGTTGCTAACATGTCAGTGTATGTGCGTGGACTGTAACAAGCGTGCTAGCCTGGTGGAGGGTGACGGCGGGGAGGCGGTGTGGAGAGGAGGCAATATGTGAGCACTTTCAGCTCAATTTTGCTGTGAACCTAAAACTGCTCTAAAAAAATGATAAATGGTAAAAATGAAAATGGTCTACTAATTTTTTTTAACTTTTAAAAATCCACTCTGATCGCTACAGCAGAGAGCTGCTTACCACCACAGGGAAACCGGAGTAGCCACGCCTGCAGTCCACCTAGAATGGATCGTCTTCCACAGCAGGGCACCCAGGGCTGGTCTCCGGGTCCCCACTGGACCCCTTTGCTCTCTCTCACCTTCCCACCCCGACTACACTCTGACTTCTCTTAAAATTTCCTACTACATCTCCTTTCACTCCAAATATATTCCCTGAGAAAATACAATAGGTAAGATTTGGCAACAACTTTTCTCACGGGTAAGCTCTGAAGGCACCAACATCTGTTTCTCCTCCACCCCCTCATTCCTTCTGTCTGCGTGGAATGGGGGTCCTTCCTTCTATTCAGGTTAATCCCTCATTGGGGTGCTTTAGGTTCCCAACCCCTTTGCCCCCAGCAGCCACACCCTATCACTCCTATATATCATTTTACTGAATCCTTTGGTTTTTTCTCTCAGCATAGACATGCTCAAATCTTTCCCATATTAAAGGAAATTCTCCCTTTATTTCATTGTTCTTTCATTTATTGGTAAGCTACAAGCACCATTTGGCTGTAGCGGTCAGGACATGTTAGTGACAAGTGAATGAAAACCCAACTTGCACTGATTTATTAAAAGGGAAATTTATTTGCTCCTAGAACCCAAGGAAGTGGTCAACCCCCAAAGTGTGAGAAGAAAAGAGATTGGGCCAATACTCAGGAACCATCAGTCTCATTTGTTGCCTGGATTCTCTCCCCATCCTGTGGATGAATCTCCACCATCTGATGTTGAGATTCTCTCTCAACATCAACCTGCATTTGGCTTTATTTTCTCTTAATACAATTGAGCTTTCTTCACATGTTAAGAAACCAGGTCCTGAATTTCAGCACATACAGCTCTTATCATCTTAACAAGCGGAGGGACTCAGCTTTGTTCTCTGAAACTCACATTAAAATTCCTGGAAAAGGAGAGAGTGACAGAAGGAAGTCAGGACAGGCAGAGTCTCAGACGGATGGCAGTGCAGCTCTGAGAAAGTGTCGGCCAGCCCACCAGGGAGCTGCAAGGCAGCCACAGAAGGGCTGCATTGCATTGCCTGGTGCTACAGAGAGCTTCGTGCTGGCCAGTGGCCAGCCACACTCTCTGGGCAGTGTTCCCTCCCTAATGGCAGCTGTCCAGAAAGAGGGCAGCACCAGTTCAAACATGATTGGCAGATCCTAACGCTGCTGCCGCTGGAGGCTGCCACCTAAATACCTTCCTCGTCTCAGGTTTTCTCTTGAAGAGAAATGGAAGTGACACACCTGTGTGGCTGCGCCCTCTGTAATACTGTAGACAGCATAATATTGGCACTTGTTCACTGGTCTTCCTCCTCCGTTAAGTGCCTTAAAATAATAAAAAAAAATTTTAAAACAAGTGATAAACTCAGAAGGCATTAATTTAATTAATCTTGTTCATTTTTGACACAGGTAGACATTCCCTTATTTATCTCTGCATCTCCAGATGTGCGCTCAGTGTGTGCTAAATAAATGAGTGAATGACGGACCCAGTGAAGAACAGCGTGCCAATCTCCATGTCTTATCTCCAAAAGTAGATTTTTTAGCTTTGTGAGAACACGATAAATGATTTTTAAAAGCATATTTTCTTCCCTGATGTCCACTAGCATCAACTTCATCTCACATACTATCTGGCTGTGGGTTTGTCAGCAGCAGAGATGTGACTGTCACATGCCCTGAGCTTGTGACATGCCCTGAGCTTGAACAAAAGAAACCAGAACATCAATATTCTTATAATAAAGATATCAAGCCCCTGTAGACAGAGCAAAAAGCTATTCTAAACCTTCATTTCAATTTTCAATATACTTGATAGTCTTGCTAAGCTCCCACTTCACTGAGAAGATAGTATATCACATGTGAACATCAGATTCATTAATTACTACTTATTTTCAAAGCTCCTGAAAAACCACTAATATGTAAAGGCATGGAAAATTGCAGAAACATCAGGTTTGGAGCACCTTACCACGTACGAAGGCCTGCACTCTGTGTTTATCCCCATGCTTCAGGATGGATATGGGCCTCAGGGAGGACATGTGGGTATCTAAGGCCAAGTTCAATCCTATTTTTAGAGCAGAGATTTGAAGCCAAATTTTTTTGACTACCAAACCCAAACATGTTATTCCCACAGCACCATTGATTCTAGCTTTAAAAATCCTACTTGAGCCCCAAAGAAATCTAGTTCAACCCAAAAACAAACTCTCTTGCACTTCTCTAGAGGAATCTTGTCTAGCATATCAGAGACTTTAGGAAGAATTAGTCTGGTTGGTCCCTGAAAGCAAACTTGTTTCAGTGAGACTTGCAAGACATCATTAAGTAGTCTAGGTAAGGCTTACATGTTTTTAGGAAAAAAGCAGTTAAGTCTTCTCTCACAATTAGTACGCACCCCACTTTAATTGCTATTAAGAAAGTTAAAAGTTCACCAGATATGTATGACTGGGATGTGTTGAAAATGTTTTATAAAGCTAAAAATGAATTTGATATATCTCTAAAAGTTTAGGGGGTTGTTCAATCAGAAGTACAGTAAAAACCAACCCCTTTATTTTTGCATGAATACAGAGACAATATAAAATCAATAAAGCTTTCATTAATGTTGTTATTAATATACACCCCCAGTTTAAATACACTTTCTCTAATTGGTTATTCTTGGAGTTGTGAGCAATGTTGACTTCAATAAAATGTCTTTTTCTTTAGAAAGTTTAATTAAATGAAGGCTTTTTAAGAATAGTGTTAGATTATGTTCTCCATCCTGTATAGGACTTATTTGGATTTTTTTCTTAAGTAAATGCTTGCTTTAAAAAACCATTTTAACCCTTTCAAGTGTGGAAATAAATCATTTGTATAAACTTGAAACTGCCTAGTGTGAGTCTTCTGGAAAAAAACAATGGCGGTTCAACAATGGAAGTGAGGGTGGGCGCACCAACTGTTAAAAATACATCACCAATAACGTCAGTGTATTTCCCTTGTCTTTCCCACACCTCTCTCTGGGGAAATAGAAACTCTGTTACAGGCTAACTTGAATTCCTGTCATTGTGCTCTACACATCAGTCTTTTCTACTCTCAGGCTCAAGGCCTGTGGCTGAGGTTATCACCTACGGCTTCACACCCAGTCACTGACATAGCATTAAAATCAACGGGAAGTTTTTTTTTTCCCCCTTTGCTTATATAGAAGATGCAAATGATTCATGAGATCAGCAATAAATCATAGTGAACAACAAGCAGCTGAGCAGCAGGGCCAATCTTAGCTGGAAAAGCTAAAGATTTCCCGGGGAAACAATATTAAATATAAACCTTTTCCTAAGTGTTGATAACTATATTTGTTACAAGTTACCAAACTATTGAAAGTGATGACACATCCAGCTTTACACCACGCCCAGTGCATCATTTCCTTCCCTCTCTCTCCTCCCCACCCCGATTTAAGAAAACAGCTGAGGACAGCAAACTCGACAAGATTAACAGGGGCTTCCAGCCTTTTCCCATCTCTGCACCACGCTGAAAGAAGAAGAGCTGTCTTGGGCCGCACAGTAAATACACTGCAACATGTAATCACACACACCAAAAAAAATCTCATGACGTTTTAAGTAAATTTACGATTCAGTGTTGGGCTGCATTCACAGCCGTCCTGCGCTACATGCAGCCCATGGGCTATAGATTGGACACCCCTGCAAGTTTGGTCTGGCTTAGCCTGCGAGGTTTTTGGTATTTTCTTTAGCTAACAACTCTTTTGTAAAGAAACAAGTGTACGGTTTCCCTACAGGAATTCTGAATTTGGTGTCTGTGACATTTCTACGTGTCTACAATAGTACAGATACTTGCGGCTTTTAAGAGAGTCTTATTTTGTAAGTGTTAGTGCTTCAGACATGAGTCAGGGTGTGTGAGAGTCAAACTTAAGGAATGACTAAGGGTGCCAGATAGTGGCACAGCGTGACTGTCTTAGTCTGATAATCCCAACAGATGTGTCATATATGAGTCTGCTTCTGATGTCTGCTTTGTCTCTTCAGTTTGTACAGGGGTTTTTCTTGGCTGTTAGCATGACTGGTAGCATTTTGCAAAAAGATGCACATGGGCTATCAGACAATAGGAACTGAGAGAAATAGGGACTTCAGTTCGATGTTTTCTATGAATCAGCTTAGAAGTTGGGTTATGTTCAATATTTGCTGTAGCTATAGCTGCCGGAGGCTTAAAACTTTTCTAGCCTCCTCGATAGTTGTCTCCTCTGTTGACCTGGACTTCCCTAAATATTCTTCCTTACAGAGAGTGTCAGTCTGGCAGCTTTTAGCTGTAATCCGATTTTATAGTGCTGGAGCCTAGTTCACGAAGGTTCAGTCCCAGGGAAGCAGGTATTGGCTATCAACTCTCTGAATTTACCTGTGTCTCCAGATTTTGGGGTCACACTTTGCCCTGTGATTTCAGTTCTCTGAAAATTTGTTGAATTTCTTTTTTTTTTCATCTTTTTCTTGCTGTAAGAATGGGAGTGATAACTTGTAAGTTCTTCACAAAATGCTGGAGCCAAAACCGGATGTCCACATGACTTTGTTGGGAATCTGCAAATAGGTACATTTGTCAATTTGTGTAATCAAAATGAGCCCAAATGATTGTCTCAAAGATCTACATATTTTCAGCCCTGGCTGGTGTGGCTCAGTGGATTGAGCACCGGCCTGTGAACCAAAGTGTCACTGGTTTGATTCCTGGGTTGCACATTCCATTTCCTTTCAGGCTGTGTGCGTGGAAGGCAGTAGATCGATGTTTCTCTCTCTCATCGATTTTTCTCTTCCTCTCTTTGTCCCACCCTTCCTCTCTCTCAAAAATAAATAAATAAATATTAAAAAAAGAAAAATAAAACCAGTACTACTCAATATTTATGAGATACTTAAACTGGTAAGTATACTATCCAATATACTCACCTGAAAAGTTAACAGGCTAAAGAGCTTTCATAAAGTTGTAGATGAGTTCCATCAATGATAATGAAAAAGATGAAATCCAGGAGCCTTCAAGAACCCTTCGTTGTTAATGATTATGCCAACACACTTCTTTACTGCCGTGAGGTTTAAAGATGGTTGCAGTTCTACATGGATATTTAATCTGACGAGATACACGTAATTTAATAGGTTCAAGTCTATCTGTAGATTAGAGCAAACATAGGTAAATCACTATTCTCCATCATATCCACACAGCAAAATATTGCTCTACAGAACAGAGTGGTAAACTTTCAGAAAAGTTTAATCAAAGAGTAGTTTTGTAGATGAAAGAAGAGTGTTTAACCAGAATGTAACATCTACAATAGGCAGCAATTACTTAAGTTGGAAATTGATCGCTATTTTAGACTGCTGTTGCCTTAAATGGCAATCTAAACATTTCCATCAAAGGAATAACATTTATACTTAGCAAAAGCAATTTATAATATATTAGGCAGATCTTTGCAAAGACATAGTGCTCCCTGAATTAATATTATTCATATAATTAGCATAAAATTACAAGACTAATTGAGTCCGTTAAGAAAAAGTTTGTATAATTTAGAAAAGAAATAACATTTGCTTAATAACAATGTGTTTGAAAATGCCTGTGTTCTGTTTCCTTTTTTTTATTGACTTGAGTCAGCATTTTGTTAACCATCTAGACATCTGCAGTTAACAGAAAACAATAAAGATATTTTTGTTTTTATCTAGATGTGAGGTATGGGTAAATGTAGTCGTTCCTGACATTGGGTGCATTAACGTTTACAAGACCTTTATTTACAGTAAACACCCTTATTAATCTGTGCAACATGATCTAACCAAAACGAGGCACTATTACTAGAAGTCCATTTGACATACGTGAGAGGCATGCCTAACCTGGCAGCTAATGATGCCTGGACTCTGGTCTCAGGTTTCCTCTTTTTTCCAAACGAGCTTTACCTCTGTCTAGCCTTGGGCAAGTTATTTAATCTCCCTTCTCCTGAATTTCTCGTTTGGGACCAGCTGTCTCTCACAGTCATTGTAAGCATTAAATAAGGTAATACAGAACACCAGAAATAGGATTTGGTTCATATTAAACACTTAAAAGATATTATTATTTCAAGCTTTTCCTGTTAATATTACCAATAATGAAGTACTTTATATGACAAATTGCATTAAAATATTGAAATAGCCTTCTATTCTTCTATCTCTCTTTATAAATATTTATGAAATTGCAATGGAATACTGAACCTTCCCTATAACTCTATACTCAAAAAGGTGTTGTGTATAGTTATGTTGGTATTCCTAGCAAGGTTTCCAAGTATTGATTGAACATGCATCATATGCCAAATGGATTCCAGGGTGTAAAATAATTGTTCCTGTCCTACTGTCCAGACTTAGAAGGCATTCAATAACCGACAGCTGTTACTCTTTTTAAATAACTATGGTTCTTGTCATACACTGAATGTCTGCGCCCCCCTGCACAAATTTCTATTTTTTAAGCCCTGACCCTCAGTGTGCTGGTATTTGGAGACAGGGACTTTGGTAGGTAATTAGGTTCAGGTCAGTTCATGAGGGCGGAGCTCCCGTTTTGGGATTAGTGCACTTATTTAAAAAGGAAGAGACACCAGATCTTCCATCCTCATTCATTCTCTCTCTCTCTCTCTCTCCATTTCTTTCTCTCTGTCTCTCTCTCTCTCTCCCCTAACCAGTGAGCATTTGGTAAGACAGTAATCATCAGCAAGCCTGGAAGAAAGCTTTCACCAGAACCCAACCATGCTGACCCCCCAATCTCAGACTTCCAGCCTCCAGGGCTGTAATAAATGTGTTTGTCTAAGCCCCCTGGTCAATGGTATGTTGTTATAGCAACTGAATTAAGACACTTCCGTTCCAGCTTTCCCAACTATATCTGATGATCTGTGCCCACTCCTTTAACCTATTTACAAGAAACTTCCTCATCTATAAAATAAATATGAGGCTGTTGTGAGAAAAATAAACTAGCAAGTGTGAAAGGATGTTGTGGACATGTTGTACATGTTAGTTACTTCAAACTATTAAAAACACTAAAACACTAGTTATTAAACACTAG